GTTTCCATTCAGCAATTTCATTATTGTTGAAATATTTAATATTCTTATCCCTAGTTCTAACAGACCTAATCGGAAAGCTTTCATTAAATAATATCATGAAATTTTCATAAAAGTATTCCATTGTTGATCAACCTCTGATCTATCTAAGTGATATACTTCATCCCAAGTTAATGTATTGAGTTTATTACTAAATTCGATTGTCTTATCTTTAGAGAAAATTATTTTAAAAGAATGATGATGTATCTTATTTTCTGCCATTTCCCACGTTAATATTTGAGCTTTGTGATCAGAATGTCTATAACTTTTGCCTCATAAGTTCCTGTATAATTTACAAGTATGTTGTCTATACAACTCTTTGTGGTTGAAGTTATACGTGTGTAGTCATTTATTGTTTTGTGAATATCAAAACACTGAGTCAGTGTTATCAAATCTGATTTTATCTCATTGTCCTCTTCCAATTCTATATTAATGTCTCCAGCGATAAATAGAACCTATTACTATCATTAAGTTTATGTAGCAATAGTTCAAATTTGTCGAAAAATACCTTTAATGAAGATATGGTGCTACAAAAACACATGATATCAAAACGGAGAAAACTTTTGAAACTACCTAATAGAATCTAAGGTGTGTATTTTCCCAGAAACATTCCAAATGTCAACAAACTAAACTGCCTATGTTGTGCATAAACTTAGTTGCCTAGAAATAATTCTTTCTGTGAAATATCTCAAAGACGGCTTTTGTAATTTATAAAGTTGGGTTTCAGAGATGACACTATAATCATCAAATAAAGTAAAAAAAAAGAGTTTTTGACACAGAATTATTTGTAAAATAATATTTGATGGAAAACATTCATTAAGTGTGTACCTTGAAGTTGAAATAAATCGTGTAGAAGTTATGTATTCCTATTTGTGCAATTTTGTTAATTTTTTTGTATTTCAGATGATAGCAAGTAATCCATATGTGAGTCTGATAGGGAATGTTGATGCTATGAGCTCTTTTCCAAAGGATTTTTCTCAGAAAAGGGTGCAACCTACATATAATTTACCTGGTACTTTAGAAGCATTTAGAGATAACTTCAGAATCCACTCTGGATCAATGGATCCTGCAGTAGCATTCACTTTCGAGATACGAGAAATAAAATCCTTTGAAAAACGTTGCCGAGAAGAAATGAAAACACTTCATGCTATGTATCAGTCAAGAACAAGTTCAGTAACGGTACCTCAAATATATTTGTTGCTGCAAAATTCCCGCATCATCCATTTCTGCCACACACCACTGTTATTTTTACCCAGATGGCGATTGAAAAGTGCTTCCACTAGGGACCATTCTCTATATCCTTCCCAAGCTATACAATTAGCAGATAAAATGGCATCCCAGGAGAAAGAGATGTGGCATACAGAATTGTGTTATGGATTTTTTTCTGAGTATAGGCATTATATGCAGACTTTAGGCTTTATGCCTTTACAAATAGATAACCCTCCTAGTACCACCGGGTAAGCAATCCATTGAGGAAGTTTGTCCTCTTAGTTTATTTTGCATTTTTCAATATATTCACTCAATTGTTTTTTTTTCAGCTTGTTAGTTAGGGACAAGTCCTCTTATAATAACGTATTTTATATTCAAAAAACTATTTTAGGGGGTATATTAATATTTACTGTGGAGTTTTGTGAACCATTTTTCCATATAAAGCTACTTGCAATTGAATGCAGTAGGCTGCAGAATATAAGTTCCAGATCATCTATCAATAGGGTAAAAAAATTATTTCTTTATTACTTTATATTTATTTCAATATTATTTTTCAGTTCACTCTTAGTTTCTTAGATGAGTGCGATAGAGTGAAAATTTTGATGCACCTTCATTCTTTTACATACGATTATCATCTTCGATGCATCTTCAATTATATATCAAACAATTCCGGAGTAAACAAAGTCTGTGAAAGATATAACGTTCATCAATTCCTGGATGACTTTATGAAATATTACAATAAGGCTCCTAATTTTGCACAGAACTTGGTTCATACAGGTAATGATGATTGCATTATAAAATAATTTTATATTCGTATTTGAAAGAAGCACTTTGTGTGATTCTAACTTGAACAGTAAAGCTACAATACATGTTTCTTTATGCATCACCTTCAATAAGATTATCTAATACTGAACTGTAAATAGTGGTCCTAGATCTATGGAATTATAATCTACTAATTGATTACATAAATCAATTATTCACATAACAGTTTCAAACATTGAAATGGCTTTGTTATCAGTGGTCACCTGAAAAGATTTGTGAGACAATCGAAACAAAACGCAATTTGAAATCTTTTTTACTATTTTATACCACGATCTTCAGGAATCGAATTCTACTTCTATATTTGACGAGATATACCCCTAGTTGTTTTTAGAAAATGACTAAGATATGTTTGTCCGTCTGCCCGTCTTTGGAAACTTATCAACAATAGTTCATGAACGTTTTTGGATATTCAAATAGTGGAAGTTTCATTATTCCATTGTTTGATATATTTGTTGTTCAGTCAAATTAGCTCTGCCTAAGGAAACTATTGCATAAAACACATGTTGTGGTTATGTAAGCTCTTCATGTAAAAATCTCCAAATACTTTAATTATAAATTTTAAATTGAGTAAACGGCAATTCCTTTAAAAATTATTTTCTATCTTCTTTTATAGATACTTTGACCATCAAAAATCTTGTAACGGAGGGTAAACAACTCTATGATTATTTACTGAAGAATGTTGACCAGTATAATTTCAAAGTTTTCGAAATGGACGTCCATGAAAGTGAATCCGAATTTATTTTGGTCCAAGTAACAAGTACATCACAGGTCTCTTACAAAGACTCTCAAGATCGGCAACATACTGACGATTTTGATATAACATTAGTGGTTTATAATCACTGTATGCCATATAGTCCTGAGGATAATGTACTTCATTTGAGGTATTATTTAATATTGACGTCCAAGAGGTAGGTAAAGTATTTTGAATTTGACGTAGAATACCTAATTCACTCTTTTGTAAAAATAGTTATTCAGAGATTTTTGAACAGTACTTCAAAAAATTAAATTATGTTTTGCTCCAATATATTTACTCATTATTTTCATTTGTCAATTTTTTTAAAACTTTTATTTTAGAGAAATATATCCGAAATCTGAAATTGACGAAAAACTAGGGAAGTTTCGTACAGTTTCTTCAACAGCGAGAAGTCTATCAGTTGTCGAAATGGAACCAAATGAATTCGAAATGAGCCAAGAGAAAAGTGTTGGTCAGGATACACAAGTACTTACAAGTTCAGGAGAATTTTTCAATGCTTCTGGTAGCTATGAAACTTGCGATAATGATGAATCATGTACCAGCCAACAGTCTACTTCCTTACCTTATGTTGAAATAAATCAGGAATCAGTTAATTATTTGGGATACTATTCTTCACATGAACAGCTGATGCAGCAATTGATTTTGGATAAAGCTAATACAACTCAAAAACACATCAAAGATATGGTCGAAAAGGGTAAGAGAACTTGAAAATATTAATTGACAATGAAATAAAAATATAAAATTTTGATAGAAAATCATTAGTAGATAATTGGTATTGATTTACAAACACACAATAAACGTTGACAGTTACTTTTTAAGTACATATTGTAGTGCATTTCTTGATTAAATTTTAAAAAAACACTTTTCCACAGCAGAACAAAAACACTGTCTCTCGAAGCGTGTTGAACTAATTAAGTTATGGAGATGATAATGTTATAATCTCTCGATGATGCTAACTTGGTTAGCAAAAAGCGCGTCGAGAAAGTTCTTATCATCAATGAAGTTCAAGCAAACTGAGTCTTTCAGGGTAATAAACGTGCGTGAAATATTTGTTAATAAGGTCAAATGAAGTAATATAATGATAGAATTGGCCGCGGTGGTAGTGCGCCCGACTCACGATCGGAAGACCGTGGTTTCGATTCCTGCCTCGACCAGATATTTTTCTCCAGTGAATTTATCTGGTTGAAGCTGGAATGATTCTGCAATCGTGTTAGGAATCACACGTTAAAAGGTAATACCTCGTTAATCCTTAGCTCGCACAAGTTTCTCACCCCTTCCCCTCCAACCCAAGTTGGTGGGGAAGGGGTGAATTTGCCAAAAGTTCCATAATTTTAAATACTCAATACCTCTGGGGTATTTCCTAACCAAACCCCATACAAAAAATTGGATAGGATTTTTGTTTGGAAAAGTAGTCAACATTGTTTGAAAAATTTTTTGTATTGCACTCATTGATTATAGATTATTTTTCAGGCATGGTTCACTGTAGAACCCACTTACTTTGGAATAGATTAATCTCTCCTCATCAGTCAAGCGCTCTGACTTACCAAGAGTTTTTAGAACTGAAAAAGTTTGCAAGACTTGAACACATCTGCCATTTATATAAAAGTCTGGGAGCTCTTCTCAATCAGCCTTTAAGTTGGTATCAAGGACTTGCCAAATTGTTGCTAGTAAGATATGTCGATAATCATAGGACCTTCATGTCTCCTGATGGCAATATTCAGCATTATGTCATTATGCATCAAGAAAACTTCGGTGCTTTCATGCTGTTATCAGTGGATTTTCAGACGTCTCGAGGGGTAGGATACAATATTTCATTGGCTAATGTTTTATTTCATTTCAGTAGATAAATGAAAGATAGAAAGTGTTGTCTGTTTTTAAAAAAGAGTTTTTCTCTCAAGTTTCTGATATGACTCATTGATCTAGATCATCTGATTTATTACCATTATTATTGTTATAGGGTTTGTATGCAGTTTATAGAGAACCCCAGAAACAGGACATGGAACTTACTCAGTCTCACCAGAAATCTCTTCTAGATGGTTTTGTGAATTTTATTTGTTTTTATCTGTGGTCGGGTATGATTTGCAATTGATCGAAATATGATTCTGTTAGTAGTTTTAGTTAATACTGTTACCTCTACTTTATAAAACAAAAGAAATCTTCTTCATGAGTTCTGTACAGAACTGATGAACAATAAATACATTGTCAGTTCAGTGAGCAGAACAGGGAAAACCCACAAATGATGAAGTGATTAATTTTCCACTAGTATGTTTGATCATTCTTGTTAACCTTTTTGGGTATCTTCACCTTCCACAATCTGAAAAAAATAAAATTTGTAATGGAGGATATTATATAGGTGTAGAACGGAAAATTCCCCTCTTTTGTGTGCGACGGGATGTCCGACACTTTGATTTTGCCAGTGGCTTACGCAACAACCATGACGTGACAGTAACGAAGCGTCTGCAGAATGTTCCACAATAAGTTTTTATAATTATTTGAATTACTTTTTCATGTTTATAGAAATTAATCAAATTATTTTGATACCTTGTAGGCGTTTTGTTGCTTAATTAAGGATAGGGAATAAGATCAAACTTACTTTTACAAGTACATCCTTCATCTCTGATTCACAGGATTTGTGGAAGAATGAACGGTGCTTGTTCATCTATTATTCAATTTTTATTTTGCTCAGTGAATGTTGACTCATGTTGGATCTCGTAACAGATCTATAAACTTTTTTATGAAATCAGGAATTTTTACAACTCTGTTCGACTCCTTTGTGAGATCAGTTGGTCAGAAATGTGTCCACCAAAAATCCGTTTTTCAAAAACGTGCACTTCCCTTATTACCTGGAATCTAATTCAGAGAGAAGTCGAATAAAGTTTATGTGTAAACATTTTTATATTGAGTAGATAGGTGAAAAATTATGTATATATTCATTATTCAAGTTTGACGAGTGATAGGCAATCAAACGTTCAAACACTAGAAAAAAATCAACCCTGAGAACTTGTTGAATACTCATCCCTTTGAACCTATTTTAACTTCCGTTGATATTTTTTTTTGTTTTATCTTGAGTACAAGATTATACCTCTCACTCTCATATGATGAAATGCAACTGTTATTTTTTGTTTCCCATCTTCTGTCTAAAAAAAAAATAGTGTATATTTAATTGCACATACAGTGTGACAATTTGAAAACGTACCATCCTTTATTTGGCTCTTATCTGAAAATATGCAAACACTCAACCTTATTTCAAGAGGGACATTTTGTAGGCTATTTTTCAATTAAATTACATCAACCCCTCAAGCGGGGTCGGACACAACTCATAAAATATCAAATGGAAAGGGGGTCATTTTGAAGGCCCTTCAGCACAGTGAGGATATTAAGATATCAAATGTTTTGCAATAAAATATAAAAAATTGATAAAATAATTCATCTAATATACAGATCTGTGGCATATATAATAGACTAACCAAGGCATTGATTTCAGCAAGTTGAACATACTCTGCTATCATTACAAATATTAAGCATCATTTAAATCTGTTTTCAGATGAATTGAGTTTGTAAATTGATGATTCAGGTTGATTTACACATGGTAATTTATCATCCAAAAGAGGGTTGTAATAGGTGCTCCTACTGAACGCCACCGTTAACCAATTGATATTGTGGTGTATTGTTTTCAGACACTGTACACTTCCTAAACATAAAATCAGAAGTTATCAAAGAAATTACTGAAATCTCCTTTTATGACATTTCATGCTGCAATTTATTCCACACAAACTTGAATTGGATCTTTATTGTTAGCGTTTTAGATTTTCACCCTGTGATAGTGATCAAACTGATATATTTTATTAGTATAGTAATATCGTAAATATGTTGGATTTTCGCATTTTTTTAACATATTCTAAGTCTACAAAATACTCTCCAAGTGATTTTAGAATAATTTTTAAATGCACACGAATACGCATTTTGAGTAGACTACTGCACCATCTATCGTATATATGAAGAGTTTTAATTTGGCAAGCAGGCAGGCAACTTAAAAATGTATCATAGTTTGAGTTGGCTGTCATTGAAAATTTTCTTGGGTGTTCTTCTTCTTCTGCTTACGGTCATTGCTTCCTTAATCAGGCGCATTTGACCAGTTCTTACGTATTTAAATTAAATAACTTCAGTTTTATTTTATTATTTTTGCAACCATGTCTAGTGAATATCAAGTGAAAATTGAAATTATATAATTATTAACTGAACTCCAACTGAACAAATAATTGTAATTATGGAAAATCAAAATAATACTTTTCCAGCGTTTTCAGAGAAACTGAAGATGACATCGCGAGATATCAGAGCCTTTACTTACTCAGCCTTATCTTATAGACACAGTTGAATACTGCGATACATTCGTGGTTCAGCCTAGCACTGTGATTCAAGACCAGCGCTGTTTGGTCTTGAATCACGAATGCTCCGTTTTTGAGTTCCGATTTAAGCTGATTAGAAGAGATATAATAAATTCGAATTGAATATAATTGATGGAAACAAATCTTAGAGTAGAGAACTCATATATACGAACAGCACCTTGATATCAACATTAATTACTCTACGCAATTTCATATTTCCACATGCAAAATCAAGGGAACTTCCTTGCAGTACTCGGCTATGTGAATACTGAGGGTTGGTATTTTGAAACGTGGATCTGTGGTGGACCGTGGAACTACCGTAATGTGGTGTTCTGTGCTCATTCCAAATTGAGGCGAGCACAATGTTGCCAACCGTAGCGGAATTTCGCTATCACAGCGGAATTTCACTTTCTATGGCGGCGTAGCGGAAACTTTACCGTATGTAGCAGAAAATTCAATGACATCTTGGTTAATTGAAGTGAAATTTTTACTATTCGAATAGTTCTATTCGGAATAAGTTTATCTTCAACTGAATGAATAAAGGGCACATAATGCTTTAATTATCTTCAAATCCTTGAAATTCCTACATTCCTCCTGATTTTTCAAATGTTAGAGCGTCGTCTGTGAGTACAATGAACAATTCGAAAGCTAGAAAAAATAAATCTTTTTTGTGGCCATGTGCTGTGGCGTTGACATCCAGTATTACCTTCTCTCTCGAAACCATATAATTGATGCTCCGCATGTGTGGAGGATAGTTCGATTTGTGTTGGGGAATTTAATTGTGGAATTTCACGAATTTCATAAGTTTTGATTCGCAACGATGTATTTGAGAGCACGACAGCAATACGTATTTCGTATATATACGTATTTCGATTTCATTCTGTTACCATTAGGATATCATTTTAGTTACGTAAGTATATAGAACAATGTGTATATAGAACACGAAGAAAAGTTCTGCATTGCGCGTTTCTAATTATGCCATAGGATTGTTTGTCTATCTAGCGGATTTTTTTGACTGGCATGTGACCCACACCTCCAATTGGTTGGGAACACTGGGCGAGCATCATATGTAATATTGACAAAGTATAACTAAAACACATTGATCTGTGATATAAATATTTGTTTATCATCATAGAACACGTATTCGTATTCAGTTAACCTAAACTTAAAACAAGAAGAAATATATGTGATTATTCGAATACGTTATTTTCATTTTGGATATCGAATATAAACATTCTAAATGATAGATCTCAATTCAGTTTTTGTTTTGGCAGAAACATTGGCCACTGAAGTGAATAACATCAACAGTGAGAAGGAGACCATAGAGTTGTTCATTATATATGGATGTTTTGGGGTAGTCTTATTTTATGGAGTGTCTAAATATTTGGATGTAAAACCAGAGACTGTTAGGACCATAAACAACAATTACTTCTTCTAGTAACAAGAATGGCAGCACCACCACATCATTTTATGCAAAATTTAAGTAACCCTCAACAATCAGGTAACTACCATCTAACATATCAATTACTCTAGTGGAATGAATAGTTTGAATTCAAATTTTTATATGCATTACCACATTTTTTAAATATAACACAACAAGAACGGCCAGTATTACAGATTCGGTTTTTTTAAAACAAATGTATGTACACTATATCTATGTATTGAACTTTATTCTTTTAGGTATGAGGAGTTCTTTCGGACCTTCACCAATGCAGACGCAAATGGCACCTGGAGGTATGCAAAATGCAATGCCTAGTCAAATTCCCATGTCGAATCCAATGGGAAGTCCTATGGTACCCCAAATGGCCAATCCAATGAATGGTGCAATGGGAAATCAAATGAATCCTAACATAAGTGGGGGCTCTCCAATGTTGAGTCAAATGAATCAACATTATAGCATGAATAGTCCAATGAGTACCAGTCAGATGACTCCTCATCAAGCTCCAACACAAATGCCTATGCAGCAGAGACCAATGGGTGAGTTAATAAAAAAATATGTTTTTCCATTAATCAGCTGTCGCCCCCATACGAACGACAACTCTCAGAAGTTGAGAAACTTGTGCAAGCTAAGGACTAACGAGGTCTTACCTTTTAATGTGTGATTCCTAACACGGTTGGAGAATCATCCCAGCTTCAACCAGATGAATTCTCTCAAGAAAAATATCTGGTAGAGGCAGGAATCCAACCCACGGTCTTCCAATCGTGAGTCGGGCGCACTACCACCGCGGCCAATTCCACAACAAAAGCTTTCATTTCTCAATCAATATATCTATCAAATTGTATTTATATATTGGTGCAACATAATGGTTGTCTCCTGAGATATATCTAATTGATTGGGAAAAATTATCTTCTTGATATGTTAGATCTCTTCATTGCTGTAAATATTTTCAATCAAATCTTCATAGAGCAATACGTTTTAAGCTCAATAAATAAAACTTGAGTAGTACATTTGTAGATATCATATTGTCCGTTTCACTTTTAACAATCTACAATTGATGCATGAAGCAATGCACAAGTTCTTCTTATACTAAATGTAATCACAGTTGTGGCCATGAGCCACATTGAATTGGACACTTCCTCATCAGTCTCTTTGCATACAAATTCATACAAGTATGTTGTTGGTCATATTAAGCAGCCACTACTGTGTAATAGTTGAAAACTTCTCAAAGTACAGCAGTTTATAATGTAAACTACAAAATGTTAGTGTTAATTGTTTGATATGTGATGAAATCGGCCAATATTTGATGAAAATCGATAAAGCATTCAGGAAACACTTTATCGTGAGATTTTCACTAAAAAGTTTTACAGAAACGCAACAGGTGTTTTGCTATACGCTGTCTAGCGAAACTTACAATAAAATGTTAATTGTTTGATAAATCTAAATGGACAAGAGTCAAATAGTGAAATTCAATTAATTTCTATTGTTTACCATGAGTTACCCAGCGGTTTCCAGTTCTCTTTCCTATTTCACAGTTGTTGCCATATACATCTTTGATGATTAAATATTCTTTCAAATTTCTTCAAATCACACTTCTTGTTTCTACTACGAATAATAATCTGGATACTTTGAATCCTTTCATAAAGGTAACTATTCATTTTGAATTGCTGTCAACAATTAAGAGACAAGTCAAGGTATTATGTCTTGTTTGGCAGAAGCAGATGGAAAAAATCTGAAAAATGGTTATTGATTAAAAAATATTTCATATAAAGACTGTAACAGCAGCTGTAGATGCTGTAAATAATAATAGTAAAGTCAAGATATCCGGGTAGATTAGTCGAGATGTCCGGGTAGATAGCAAGAAGCACTTGAAACTGTGCCATTCAGTATTGACAAGTGTATACGAGAAACACATTTTTTGTGATTTCTTTTCCCCTGCAATATTATCAATTATAAGGATTTCCTAACTTTTGATTTTTGCAGTTATGCCTTCAAGAGATTATTATACATATGTGGTACAATCTTGATACTCCTGAAACTAAAAGATATGTCTTTGAGGATTTGTGTTTGAGGTAGTTCATGAATCACTCATTTATCTTTTATGTGGATTGTTGAAAGAAAATATTTTAGTTCTTTTTTCATTCTTGCTTCCAAAGCTGTTTTATCCTGGTTTGAGGATATATCAATTCCAGTTAATTTTTCTTATTGTTTCTTAGTTTCGATTCTCCTGGGGCTGTTACCATCTCATGCTGTAAATCAATAAGATGGGTAAGATCTTTGTAACGAAAAAAATTATAAACTTGAAAATAAAATAAAACTTTCACAATTCCTGATATAACTTAGTGCCTAGCACATAAATATTTTTTTCTGACCCATAGCTGAATGATAGTAAAAAATCTTCCTATCGTACCTATTTATCATTTTGATTTTATTATTAATTGAACAGACATAGTTGTCACTTTATTTATTTATTTATTTTCGGGCAAGCCCATTCAAAGTATAAATTACAAGGGGTTAATTTAGAGTATAAAACAACAAGAGACAATGAGCGTCAATAAAACATACAACATATACTATCTTAAAGTATACATTGAAACATTAAAGCATCGTAATCTGTGTTTTAAAATGATGCAAGGAGATGTTGAACATCTCAATATCAATGTTAGTATTGGCTAATCGTAAGATTCTTGGAATGCAGATATTGAATGTGTGGTTTAAACAATAAAATGGTACATAAAATGTTTGTTGCTGTTGAATTGAGCGGTTTTGAACATGTAGATTAATTTTTTCTAACAGTTCAGCGCAACTGCATTTGTCATTAATAATATTGAAAAGTAGAGTCAGGTCTCTATGTTTCCTCCTAGTTTCCATGGAGTAGCAACTCATACTTTCAACGAAATATATTTAAAAAAACAATATCGATATGAAGCAAATAGAATAGAAATTCACCAAAGAATTAATTTTTACCTGCGTTAAATTAAATGATACAGTTAGAAAAAAAAACCTGTAACCACCACCTGTACAGCCAGTTCCAATACCTGAAGGGCCAAAGGAAAAACAGTGTATTACGAACATTCTTCCTTTTCACATTCACATGCTTCAATAAGGGCCAATGAACCAGTATGGACATTTATTTCATATATTATCTGTTAGCTCATCTATGCCTAATAATATACGTCTATAAGTTAATTCCGTTAATTCCGCCAAATTCGCTATAATTCTAGTGAATTTCTTGAATGACAGCTCTTTATTGATATCGTTTTCAAATTTCCACTGTACTGGTTTTACCCTCACGATTTAACAGTTCAATAATATACAATAGTATAAACTATACAAACTATAACAGTTCAATAATATACAATAGTTCAAACTATACAATAGTCCAAATAATCATAAATATTTAAAACATTATAAAAAGAACTTATTGTTGTATTACCTTAACGCGATAACTCAAAAATTTTTCAAGGTGCATTTGCTATTTCACAAAAGTACTAACTAGTTTATTGATATCACATCCACTGAACATAAGGATCGATGTCTGACAATGTAACACATTTATACAGCTAGTGAATTTGAATCTGAATCACTATTGAACTAACCTAACAAAATCTCTATATTCACAATTGAATTTGTGGAATTAATTCATGAAATTCATACCCGACGGAGTCCACAATAACTTAATCAATTTATCAACTATATTTTGCAATAAATCTCAAATTACCATTGTTAAGTTGTAATAACAACACTTTTCCACTGTCCAATCTTTATTTTCATTCGACTGTTGATGAAACATTGTCAACTAATTCAAATGCTTGTTGCCTGAATGATGGATATAGAATACTGTAACAGTAAAACTCTTCACCAAATATTGTAGTGTAAACATTCTTGAATATTCTCCATCAGATGAATATTTATCTGGATTAAATGAAAAATAGCTTTGAAATTATAAAATTTATTTCAATAATCTTAGTCTTTTGGTCAATTTTTTTTCAACTTTGGACATATCTTTACCCTCCTTAAGTTCTGGATGATTTGGCAATGCTGTTAAGGCATAGCATTCTTATAATTGTTTTTGTGTAGGTTTCTGGAATTTGTATTGTAAAATATTTTCATCGTAGTATTATAGTGTTTCGTTCGGTCCATTTTTAATATCCTTTTTCCTTCGAAGAAAAAATGAATGATTTTAATTTTTCTACAAACATGTTTTACGAAGAATCTCCACCACACCCAATAGACTCTTCCATCATGACATATTTGGAGTTTGCTTTGAATGTAGGTGAGTAAATGTGGAATATTCTGTTGTGGGACCATTAAGTGTAGCTTCAAGAGAGACAAAATGATTTATTTATTTGAACCATAGTGTTTGATCAGATACAAATAATAATGATTGGACTGAGAATGCATATGCTGGATATGATGACATCAAGTGAATTGGGGTGTAAGTCGCCTTTCGGCAGGCCCTGCATCTGGTGTCAGAAACCTCTAACCTACCCATCATTACACTATGGTAGACCGAGTTATTACTATTATAATTGTATTATATTGTTATTTGGAGCCACCGAAAACAAGCATTAGAACGCCACATCAAGTCTCTTTATCCAATTTTCTTCACTTTTTCAACAATTTCATCAGTTGTTGAAGTGCTCGGGCGTCATTAACATCTTTTTGACGTTCTGTGAAAGGCTTGTACCACTTGTAAACATTTTTCTGACTCAGAGCACAATCACCGTATACCACTGTCGACGTTTCAAGTGTTTTTTTAAGAACTCAATTCCATATTTCACACAAAATTTGACAAAAACTTTCTCATCCATTTTTTTCGATAGCAGCAAATCGTCGAACACACAAATCACTTCTAACATTTATGCCTCTCACTACCAAAATAAACCTGCTAAGCAGTTGAAACTGTAAATATGTGTTCGAGACGAGTGCACCAACATGTATACCAAAATCGAATGTATATAGCTTACGAAGAAAGAAATATCTTATTTGAACCATTGAAAACCACACATACGATGCTAAAGGAAAACATAACGTTATTCAAGCTCGAAAACAAGGATGAATAAGGGTACAGAAACTGGAATATAATGGTATACTCTGCTTCCATGGACATAAGCAACTTACTCCTCAACAAGTTTGAAACAATTATATAGTGTCTTTATAAAACTAATGAGACTTTCAGTCTCCCTATGTAATGAGCAGCAAATATTTATATGCTATCTTATGTATGTGTCCATATCCTATTAGCGTGTTTATATACCTTTTCAATTTATTGTCATAAGTGCACCTAATTCGCTATAAATGTATATGTATATTTGTATAGTGTGTAACAACCTATAATAGTACATACCTATTTGGGATTGTTCTTTAAGGACAGTCTAGCCCCACTGATGAGAACTCAATCATATTATTGTATGTAGAAAGAAAAAACTCACACTTCCCTGGGCTCATATAAATCCCATGAATATTTCTGAAAATTGTTTCATTAAAAAGGACTTTGAAATAAATAACATAAAATTGAAGAAAACAATGTAAATAACTTTTATTCCCTGAAATTAAATAAAATAAATAAGTTACTTGTTGAATAAACAATATATATATTGCGTTATTGCAGAGTTTCCACCAGCCTTGAACCATCATGAGATTCCCCAACAACCTCCAGGCGTAGCTCCAACACCTCCTTCCGTTCCTGTTCAACAACAACAGCAGCAGCAGTCCAAGGAATTCAATACTGCTTCTCTTTGTAGGTTGGGACAGGAAACAGTACAAGACATAATTAGCAGAACATTGGAGGTTTTTCAAACTCTCAAGCAAATTCAGGTGAGTTCAAAAATTCAAGCAAATACAGGTAGAAGAGAAATATCTCTTGTATATCTCTAGAGTCCACAGTATGTCCCTGGGATGTACTTTTCATTTCACAGAAGAAAAATATGAATAACTGAAGATATTGTATTCTGTGTAGTACAATTAAAAATTCATAACCATTTCTCATAAATGATGGGAAGGTATCATCCAGTTGAAAAAAAAATAGGATTTTTTGTAAACCAGCATATGGACACTAATCGTCAAAACATGTGCGAGAGATGTTTGATTGACTTGTGACTCATAAATTTTCTCAAGCTAACAATATTATCTACAGTCGTGTTTAGTTATGTAAGGGCTATCATTATTATTTATTTTCATTTGTATTGTATTAGTTTGAAAATGTCCATATAGGACATTGAGTTGTAGCATCTTCCTCATTGGAAGATGCTAACACTCCAGGCTCCATCATCTCCTTATGATGCCAACTTAGTAAGAAAAACACTTCGAGAGACAGAGTGGTGTGGGAAAAGTGTTTTCTTTCATTTCATTTAGCACCAGAGGTTCCAATTCTTCTTATCCAGCACACAATTATTTTAGAGAAATAAAAACTGCTTTCACCTTCTTTGAGGCAATTTGAAATGCTATTACAGTAGCAAAACTAGAAGAGGGTTTAAGTAATTTTCACTCAAGTGGAACATTCCTAAGCTATTTAGATATATTTCTTCGAGATCAATTTTCTGTGAAGTCTGAGTAATGATCGTGCTATGTAGTCATTATATGAGGATTCGGAATCATCCAATTTTTATTTCTTACTGAAATGATATTTTTTATTATCTGATGTCCACAACATATTTATTTTTTAATCAGTTTGTTGAGTTTAGAAAATTGAAATTACCTACATCATTATTCACAATTTTCAGCCTCCCAATGGCACTCCACAATCTACTAGTACCAGCAATGAAAAAAAGGCCAAAGTGCAAGAACTTTTGCGTACCATAAGAGTTCTATTCAAAAGGCTTCGATTGATATATGAAAAGTGCAATGAAAACTGCCAGCTTCAAGGGATGGAGTACACACATATTGAAAGTTTGATTCCTTTCAAAGATGAAATCGACCCAAAACATGATGAAAAGAAGAATTCTGAGGCATATAGGTTAGCATGTGAAGAAAGCAAAGAGGTTATGGAACAAGTTGTTTTGAAAAATAAGCAATTGAAAGAAGTTATTGATCATTTGCGTAGGATTATTTGGGAGATCAATACAATGTTGACAATGAGAAAGTCCTAACTAGTTCTTTAGTTATGATATGTAGGCTTTCACGGCCGGTGTGTAACAAATTTTCCGATATTTTTGGGTTTATTAGCCGTGGTATGCAGATTTTCATACCTGACGTGTTGTTTGCTACTGCGGCAGACATTATGTAGCAATGGTCGAAGTGATCTACCTTGCTGCGATGAGTAAATTGAAAATGGCCCTGGTGCGTTTGTACTTATTATGGGACTAGGGGTCGGACGATCAACTGCTCTTGTACCTGATTGGTCTGACCCTTTGATTATTGGGAGAATCGTTGTGTTATGAAGTGCCTGTATCCACGTCTTGTACTCTCTGGTTTTATCATGAGTTTGCATGCTTTTGTAGGCAATGTTATGGCTCCCTGAGAGACAGTATGTTGTGCAACTGCCGATTTATCTGTTTGGACATAGCGACAACCTCTTTTATGTCAATCAATCGCGTTTTAAAGCATTTTTTCGTGGTTCTGATGTAGAACGAACAACTACACTGTATTCGGTATTCCTGGGGTATTTTTTGGATCGCTGGGGTCTTTTGCTGACCTGAGACTATTCTCTATCGTTTTCGTGGGATTGTAAATGGTCCTAACCTCATGTTTTTCTTCATGGCCGTTCGCTCCAGTATCACTGTCAAGTGTTTCTATATGGGTCATAAGGCTCGGTTAATTTTGGCCTCGTTATATGTTAGCTAGAAACACATTTCTTCTTGTAGCCCTTCTGGTTCGCTGATATGTCTTGCCCTCTCTAGCAGATTCTTAATAACCCCTCTTTTCTGTCACAGATGATGATTGAAGTGCTTGGTCTAGTATCAGGCCGTATGGGTTGATTTTCTGTATAGTTCATGCCCCAGTCTGCCACTCTGCCATCTTTTCACTAATGCATCCAGAAAAGCGATTCTTCCTTCCTCTTCTTTCTTCATTGTAAACTGGATTTTTCGGGTTCTAAGAATTCAAATATCCTAGAAATTTTGCCAATTCCTCTTCCCCGTGACTCCAAACCAAGAAGGTATCATCAACATATTGCAGCTAGCAGGAAGATCGGACCGGCGAATGTTCTAGCGTTCGTCGTTATAATTGTTTCATGTAGAAGTTGACAACTATTGGAATTAGTGGACTTCCAATTGCAACTCCTTCTTTTTGCTCATAGAATTTTCTATCCCACTGGAAATATTTTGATGATAAGCAATGTTCAAATAAGGTGGGGTGATCTCTGGAGAAAAGAATCCGCTGATGAGTTCCAATGTTTCACTAACCTGAACTATTGTGAATAGAGATGCATGAAAACTCACAGTTTGTGCATCACAGCAAGGTAGATCACTTCTATTCTGTCTATCGCAGAAGCGGACGAAACGTCAGGGATACAGACCGCTAATAAAGCCGGAAAGATCCAAACAATTTGTTAGTTCTTTAGTATATCAAATTATTGCAGTTGTTTCATTGGTGTTTAAAAAAAAATATCATTTTTATTAATTCCATTACTAAGGTTAGTAAGGTTTGTTTTGCGTATTTAAGATGATGATTAATTCTTTTTATGTGTTTGTTATATGTATGATGATATGTATATGAATTTTTTCTGGGTTTATTAAATATTATTCATTATTCAGTTAGTGAACTTGGTATTGAAATAATAATCCTCAGAATTCCTAGTCCTGTTCTTTGTGAGGAAACACACTTCCTTTTAGAAGAGAGGTTTGAACATCCATTGTCTCAGAATCAGTTGGTAAAAGAAAAAAGTAAAAATTGATAGAAAAATAACATTGAACATTATGTAATGAAGTTAACTAAAGTGAAAAGTGACCAAATCAGTACATTCTCATTATGAATATGTTACCTTGAATTTCAACGTTTTATGTTCCACGTTTTCACATTTATTTTTTTATATCATTTTTATATTTTATTCAATACTATTTTTTCTCTATTTGCTGGTTTCAAATCTAACTAGACAGTGGAAGTTTGAACATCTACCACTGAAGCTTTATTTTTTCATCATAGGTGCTTCGTCAGTGTCATTCAGGTTGAAAGATGAATGAGTGAATGAATTGAATTTTTCTTAAACTAATTATTTCTCCAAACATATCTTGGAGGCTTACATAATGAGATAATGATACCATACATTTATCCATGTTGTACACAAAAGTTTTTGATATGCTTTCTGTATCTACTGTAGGTTTTACATTTTCAGTGCTGTTGTACAATCTTCTACATAACATGTCTTTCTGAAATATTGAATTTGATTATTAGTTTCATCCTTTATGTTCCTATTCCTGAAATAATTAGTTTCCATAGTATTTTTATTGCTACTAACAACTTTCCGAAACCTATTTGTACAAGGTATTTCACCTTGAACTCCCAAACAGGATATATCCAGAACTAGAAACAATGTTTCAGTTCTGCGAACTCTAGTGAGTTAACAAGCGTAATAACGTCAACTTGGCATAAAAGTCAAGAGTTTTGATGGCAGCAACATTCAATTTGGGGTTGAATTTAGAACAGTTTTGATCAGTAGAGCTTTTTAAAAGGTTTTCAAATTGATACAAAATATTTCAACACGAATTCATCAATATTTCCTAAGTGAAACGTTTTTTAAAATGCACTGTTTTTGAAATATGAGTTGTTATGCAAAAATAAATTTTTTTTCAGAATTTCTAAAATATTTTTTTTTATTTCATGAAATTCTAGGTATTACCACCTCAATATATGAAGTTCAATTTTTTGAAAGCAATATAAAGTTTCTATCAACATCCAATGGCTTACAGTAGGGTTAGCCGTTGCCATTTATACCCCAATTTTTACGCCACTGGTCTGAGGTCATAATTCTGTGAATTTTCAAATTAACTTTTAAGTTAAGCTCAAAGTATGCATAATTTTTGAATAAAAAAAATTGTTATTTGACGAGAAAATCGCAAACGATGTATTGCCATATTTTGACAACAAATCATTCAAAAAAAATTCTCCTTATCGATATTGAATCTACAGAAATGGAATCAATATTGAAATACATAATGTTAAAATTCAAAATATGACCATTGATTCAGTTAAAAATTGAGTGGAAAACAAACTTTTAAAAAAATAGAAGCGACCATAATGAAAGTTTTGTTTCTTGACCTTGGATCAGTGGTGTAAAATATAAGGGGATAAATGGAATCAGCTATCCCTACTGTGAGCCATTGGATTCTGCTAGAAATTTGATAACACTCTTGAAAAATGGCGCTTTGTGCTTTCAGGTAATACCTACAATTTCATGAAAAATAATCAATATTTTCGAAGTTTTGGAGAAAAAACAATTTTAATGTATGTTTTTGTTAAATTAACATGTACTGCTTGGATATTCTGATATTAGCCAAAGTAGTTCTAATAGTGGAAAAAATATCAAATTTGTTACCTAAGTACCTAAAGGGCAGAGTTTGTGCTGTAAACGGTTTTATTATTTTTTGTCTTCATCTTTCAGGATGAATTTCACATTTATGGGGGCACATTTGCTGTTTCAACATCATGGAAAACTGGGAAACCTTCATCATCAGCAAGTGCAGACTTTTTGGTACTAACCAACCTACATCAGTGATTATAGTATTGTTTACAGAATACCTATCAAATCTATCACTTGGTAAAAATTAAAAAATCTTCAATCTTGTTCAGTAATTCGAAATCTGATTCAGTACTTGCAGTGTTTTCTGATGTCACATGCTAATACATAGAGTATATTACAAAATATTTATTAATTACATTTTCTGAGTATAGTTATATGTAATGTCAAAGTTGAATTCGATGTATTGAAATTTGATTAGTGCTATGATTTGTGGATCTAATTAATTATAAAACTATTCAAAAAATCAATTATCAGAACGAAAGAATACACATGTGTCATCAATTTGTACATCTGATATGAGCTGTCAAACTAATAAAAACAAAACAACAACTGAACAACCTAACCTGTTAATAACGAATTGTTCTCATTTTTGAAATTCACTGATTCTGAAAATCTCATGTCACGATTTTGGGTCTATTTCTTAAACTTCTATTTTTGAATTCCGATATCTGTCAATTTGAATATTTCAGTATGTGTAACATTACATAGAGCCATTCTCAATTTCAGTTTAAAATTTATAATTACAACATAAAATGTTCCTTCTGTGAAATATGAAATGCCCATAGTTTATCAGTTGTGAAAATAACTATTTGTTCTATATAAAAGAATTTGAACTCTAGAAACTCTTCAATAAACACTTTAATGAAATGAATAAAAACACTGTCTAATTCCACTAGTTATTTTATTCTTACGACCAGTTTCTGGTTTTATTCCATTATCAAGTATATAAACTAACTAATGCATTTCAAGGTAAGACCTCGTTAGTCCTTAGCTCGCACAAGTTTTGACTTCTGAGGGTTGCCGTTCGTAGGGGTGCGATAGCTGGTTAACGGAAAAAACGTATTTTATACATATATTTTTTAAACATATTTAATTACCTCCCCATCCAGCTTATCTACTCCCTATATAACCACGTTTTTAGATTTCAAATTTGTTAGTTAGTTAGTTTTTATACTTGATGATGGGATAAAACCCCAAACCGGTCATAAAAATAAAATAACTAGTGGAAATTAGACAAAAGTGTTTTCAATCATTTCATTAAAGTGATCATGAATTTCCACAAAATGAAGAAATAATCAATTACACAAAAAACCTCAATAAACACCATGTGAACAATGTTAACTGTCAAAGTTAATGAGTAATACATCATTAATCAGTTTCAAAATTTGGGAAATACCGACGACTCGCTCTTTGATATACTGAGAGCAAGCTACCTTCCAAACAAAAGCTGTTCCATATTAAATGCAAACATTAACTGCCTTGTCTTCTGTTGTTTCACTTGTAGAAGAAAAAGATGGTATATAAAAGTATGTGTTTTATCTGTATTTTATTGATGACGCATGTGTATATGTTCGCCGACCCAACTGTAGGAATTGGTAAATGTTATTTTGTTCCACAATTTGTCTTGAGATATTCCTGAAAAATGATAATTGCGAGTGATATTCCATCCATTGAATCTAAAATGTTTTATAATAATAAGCCAACCAGTGATAGCAGCCATATCAGATTTATGTAACAGTTATCCCTGTACACCATTTAATAGTTAAAAAATGACTGAAAGTTTAATTACATTTTTTTTCGATTACTGAAAGTACATTTTCATTATTTCTGATGAACGTGTTTTGAGGAAGTAGTTGTTATGTTTGATATCAGCATGTGACCAGCGAAAGCGTGTCACCATGCTGAGAAAGTGAAGTTTCATACTGTTTGTGCAATAATATCTGGGAAGACAATATTTCTGTCTGTCTGTTCTGTTATTTCAAATCAATCATTAGAAACATGTTTCATGGTGCTATACTCACTCATAGTTCAGTCAAAGCACATGATTGTGAACAATTGAAAAGGTTGTTAAAGTGTCCTGGACGTTTGCAAAAATATTCTTAGAATAATCATCTTTCGAATAATCAATATTTGTAACCAATTTTGAAAACATCTCTGGAATGTAAACTTGTCAGTATTAAACAGTTTGAAAGAAAATAAATAAATGATTATTATTTCTCGTTACTCAATAGAAAACATCTTTATCACTTTTCTCGATTGGAGAAAATGACAAAGTAGAAGCTTGTAAAGCCTCATCTGAGTTTTACAATGATGAAATGTTTTTGCTAAATAGAAAGTTTTAGAAATTGACTTTTATTGATGGAAAGTTGAGATGACAAAAATGATGGATAAGGCGTTTAGCAAATGGAAATAATTTTGAGTTTTAGTTACGGTTTGACAAAATATGGTTTACGAAAAATAAAAATATTTTTACTTGATTGTTTTTTCATCACTTTATAATTCACTGAACACATTGATACGTTTGGAGAGCAAACAGTCATTGAAAAGAATTTTTCTGCTTTAAAGTTGTTGACCAGGATTTTAACCACATAGTCGATTTAGATATTCTCCTCAACTAAGGGTCAATCATTACTCCTAAATATTGTATTCGCGATAATGATTTTATTCAGATTTGTTTTGAGATATAATAAAACAAAAGTACTAACAGCACGAGCTTTTCTCCACGTTAGAGATAACCAGTCTTTCAAAATTTGAGTTCCCTTTTTCGGTTGCTCTTTTCACTGCACTCCAGCTTTCTCTGGTATAAATGATGGCCGATTCATCATCAAAGGTGATGCTCCCCTCTAGAGAGGTTAATAGAATGGCTCCCATATCAAACGCTTTTTTATGTCTAAGAATACAACTCTAGGTTTGTTGTCATCAAAAGTTTCGTATATAAGTTTTGTTGATTTGATTTAAGCATTAAAGTTTTTTAAAAAAGTTCACTGGGGTATTTTGAAAAAAAGTTGTTAAATTTTCAAAAGTATTTCGCTGAGGGGGATATTTTACAAACACTTTATTCTGAGATTTTCACTACACAGTTTTACAAAAACGCAATACGTGTTTCGCTATACAATAGTTTCTTTAGGCGTGTCTTTACTTGACTACATTATGGATTTTCATCAAGTATCAGCCGATTCCATTACGTAAGAGTATATTAGAGATATTGGTCTAAAGTTTATCATTTACTTACTATTTGTAACTACAGTTGTTAACATTACTATCGCTAGTAAAAAGTTTTAATTACGCATTTAAATGATAATAGTGAAAGTGAACTGTAATATTTGTTATAAATACTGTAAGTTTACAATGTTACTTTTGTGTTTTAATAAATTGCTTACAATTCTGATTCTATTCAGAGGAAATATTAACCCTATTTTAGTTCAGCCCTGTACAAAATAGAGTAAAGGTCAGTTATTGAAAATGTTAAATCATCAAACAAAATTGAAGAAACATGATTATTGAACTTTTCAATGATTTGAATTGTGTATTTACCTTCAATGAAAAATAAAAACAATATATAAAAATGATTTATTACTCTCTATATCACATTAGTACATTCAACAAAATTATGAATACAGAGCAAATCAGTCATTAGGAGACCAATCTAGAAAGAATTACACATTCATTATCAACATTCTCTCGATGGGTTGGCATCACTTCAATTATAGTAATTGAATCTGCCAAAGTCAAACAGAAAACAAACTTATTATCAAATTGTCTCTCAGTCTTATCATACTTGATGTTCACTGTTGAAATTCAATGAAACATTTTTTCTTCAAGTGAAACAGCTTAAGAGGTAACAATTGTTAAGCACTATAACATAGAGTTCTGAGCATTATTACCTCATACCCAAATAGACCAGTTCCACAATCAAATTTTTTGTCACATATCTGACAGTACAAACATTGTTTCAGAGTTCAAGTACTTTTTAAAAGAATTGATATAACTGGTACTATTAAATGAAAAAATCTCTAAATGAAATATTCTCGGAAAGTGTAATTTTTGGTGTAAAGCTGGAAGTAAACATGTTTGGCTATAAAAATGCGAACATATCAAATTTTCTAAAAAATCAGGAATTCGATTTTTTCCCAAATAATAATTGTTGGTCCTCAGATTTTGAATCTTATTGGTGTATATATTCGTTTTAACAGTTCGTGCTGTTTATGAAAAATTTACAGTTAGACATGTTTTTATCTGCTAATCAAGGATATGAATTTAAGACTTGGTGCTTGGTCTACTTTCAGAGATACGGTAATCAAAAGTTGAAATTGTTAAAAACAATTATTTTATTAATTCAAGTTTAGTTATTAAAACTCATAAAAGACGAACTACGGTCTCTACTGCGGACAATTTATTCAATCACTTCAAAGGTCATCACAGAATAAAAACTTCTATTTCACCAAACTAATCCTATCATTTTCTAAATATTGTTGCATCATTAGAGTTTTTGTTTTTTATTTATTGGCTACATCACGAAAAGGAAAATTTTACATAACTTTAACCTTCTTTCAAATGAAACATTACACAAATTACATACATGGAATTAATTATGAATAACAAGCTCTAGCTGTTGAAACGAATATTCACCCTTAATAAATTCAGATCTAATTGGATAAGGGCTCAGTTATGGTAAGATTTTCAGACAGTCTTAATAAATTATCATCAAACAATTCAAACATAACACAATCTAAACTCAATATAGGCATAAATTCAACAATTACTTTGAAAATTCATCATTGATGTGTGATACACACGTTGAACATATGTTTCCTTCCGCTGAGACATTTTGACATATGTTACAAATCATTAGAAGACGGTTAACAATATCCTCAGTTTCATTCTTCCTGTCTTGCTCATGACGATCTGCTTGATCTTGAAGATCCACTTGTGACAATTCCTGCTCAATTTGATCCAATATCTCGTTTACTTCAGTGTCATTCATGAGATTGACTGCCTCTGGGTCCCTTTCGAGAGCTATTCTCAAATCATTGATTGATCTATATGAAATAATTTGCCCATAATCTTCTACAATTTGCCGAAACCTGTCGACACTTCTGCTACGATTATTTCTCAATCTTGTGAAGAATTTCTACAGAATATTTGATTGTGAATTAATTTGTAGGTGAATACTAGGAATTATGAAACTCACATTTCTAAATTCATTCCTGAGAGATCCAGCAGAAGTATTATGAGACAACTCACTTTTTGCTCGTTTTAAGCGATTAGATGGATTGGTCCCACTGAATCCTGACATTATTAACTGAATCGAAGCACCTCTTCAGAGAATGCGATATGAAAAAAATAAATTTTGAATTTGGTAAAATAAACAAACAGCTAACCAAAAAATAAAGACAGTTTGGTTACTGTTATCAGTGTGACCAACGAAAAAATTTATATTTTTACGTTCCAAAAGCAACTGTCGCTGACCAAAACTATTGACGGTTGCGTGAAAAAATAGAACAGAAATGTTATCTGAGCGCCTGTAAATTACCACTTACAGGGTCATTTCGAAAAAAATGGTTATATACTGGTGAACAAAATATCAGAATGCTAGCCAATACTTTGATGGTGAAACTGACACATGCAACTTTGAAATGATCTGTTCACAAAATAATTAAAATTTTGAAACAATTACCTGGGGTGTGGGTCAGGAGAGTTATCTTTGAAGGGATAAAATGTGAAATATTAGAATACTACTCGTGAAGTGTCATGTTTTTTTTAATAACCGACAAATTGTTCTAAATGTAACCAAAAATAATTAATTTTTCAGAAATTTTTGAGAAATTAATACGTTAGTATCGATAAAAATATACTGATAGTTATCATTGAACGAAGATAACTACTGTTTTGGAGACGTTATTCGAATATTGGCAGCACTATTTCGCATTCATTTTGTGTTCGTGTCCGAACGTTATATGTGGGAGTGAGTTTAATTTCTATGGAAGACTTCTGTGGCTTTATTTTGAAGCCTGTTAAATCGATAGAAAAATCAGATGTCTATCTCTGTTTTGAAAGAAAAAAAAAAGAGAAATCCGATTTTTCTGGGCGGAATAAATGATATTCAGAATAAAAGTGGAAATACAAAATTCATATGTAGCCCCCCCTCTCTCTCTCTTTCCACCATTGCTACTTTTTGGCGAATAATTGTTTTTTTCTTTGGTCTGTATCTTCTTTTCCATTGCTTTCAAATATTCAAATAAAACTACTACAGTTTCGATGTTTAACACATTTTTAGGAAATTGAATAAAAATATCGATTTATGATGATATTAGTGAAATAACAGCATTCATCTTTATTCGATGTTAAGAACAATTATAATAAACACACACGATCGATATGGAGTTTGATAAATTAGTATTTGCCGCGCCTAGGTTTCTATGACAACGAGGGTGGTGTGGCGGTTTATTCAAGGAAAAACATTTTTTAATTCATCATGAACCACAATGGGAAACAAGTTAGTGACGTTTACAGACCAGCAGATAGAAAATTATCAGGTAAAGTTAGATTGGAAGTTTATATCAATTTTTTACCAATGTGTTTCTGTTAGGACTGTACTTTTTTCACGAGAAAAGAAATCGTGCGGTAAGTAAAAAGTGGCCTTTTGTATTCTATTTATACATAGATGCGGCTGATTCATACACCAAACTTTTACTTTTGCTTTAAGTTGTCACAATGTAAATGAATGGGAGTGTTCAACCATATACCACCCTTTCGAGTAAAAGTGGGTGAATGAATGCTCCCATTGATTTATAATGTGTGACAACTTTCCTAAAGTAAGAATGAAAGTGTGGTGTACGAACCAGCAAAATATATACAACAATTGACCAAGCAACAATCTTTATTACACTTATTTACCAATCTATATGGAAAATATGATGTGGTCAATGAAATATCCACGTATATCATAAAATAAAGTCCCTTTGCCGCGTCTGTCTGTCTGGCTGCCTCTCTGAATGCGAAACGCGAAAATTACTGAACCTCCATTAATTTTTATTGCGATTTTGTGAGTATTCAATCTATTCAAAATGATGCAAACGAGATTCTTATTTTTCAATAATTTGTTGGATATAAACCTGTACAATCTGATCCAATTAAGTGTGCCTCAATGTATTTTTTTGGAAATACTGTCAAACTGGTAGTTATTCGGAGATAGTCTTCTTACATTTTCCGTGTTTTACTTTCCCCAATCGCTTTTTGTTTTTTTGTCTTTTGGTAGTGATTCACCACATTTTTGTTATTCATTGCATGTAACATAATTGAAAAAGATTTGGTGCATGCGTATTCGTTTTAACACGTGATATTGACCCACAATTTTCGACAATAATTTGAATCTCAGAGTGTTATATAGTTTATATGATACGATAACTACAATGATAAACGACAAATTTGATAACTGTGCCTCACAGAGATGACATACAACGGCAGATCACAAGATTACACCAAAATGTGCGCAGAAGAATGCGCATTAGGCCGAAAAATTCACAGTGAGATGTTGAAAGTTGAGCTACTCTTGATGTGATGTTGAATTTATTCATGCTGCATGAAATGAAATGTGCGAAAGCAATACTTTAACTTTTCAGGAATGATGTTAATATTAATGATAAATCAGACTATCTGTTTACACCCTATCTTTCATCCTGTCAACTTAACTTAACTGTTATGTAAAAGCAACTGATAGAAAAAATAGATCGATGGATGTAGCCGTTAGTACGTGGTAGGAGATCATTATAAAAAATGAGAATTGAAACTTCCTATATTTTAATACCACTTGCATTCGTAACTAACGTTTATTGTATTCGTTTGAATATGTCCTTATAGGACGAAATTGCAGTAATTATAGTTACTGTTATGTTTTTTTACCTGCACCAAAATCCTTCAAAAACATTTTTCTAGAGGTGATTCCGAATCGAATGAGCTATCGCTCATATTTTTAGGAGCTTTATCTCTATTTTTTATGTTTTTGAACTTGTTGATTAGACTACATCTGTGTTAGGCCCGAGACTTTTCAGGTCAATTCTCAACATGTTTCAGAAACAGCAGATCTATCGAAACAGTTAGTTATCATTCACCTAGGATGAATAAATTAAAATATTACGACATTTGTTGACTTGCATTAGTTGAGTTTGAATGATGTTTTTCGGATTACTGAGTGTTGCACATATTTTTCTTTACTGAAATGTAGTACATTTTGCTGATTTCTTTAATGTGAAGCCATCAACTTTGTAGTTCGATTCACTTCTATGTAACAAACATTAACAAATGTTGAAAACGTTATGTCGATTTACACAATCACTTAAAACATTTGTTTGAGAAAGAAATGCTTTTCAGTTGATTTGGCTGAAACTTTGGTTAACGAAGCAAGTCGCTGGTAATCAAACCAGTATCAAAGCAGAGTAGGTAACCTAGATCGAACCTCTGATGAAAAAAATATAACTAGTTCAGTGACACAATAATTTTTCAGTAGAAAAAAATGTTTTCTTGCCGACGTTTCGAAGTCAATAAAATTCTTCTTCAGGACTCGAAAAGTAGTTTCTTCGTGTTAATATTTATTTATTTATTTATCAGTCAAGTACACTACAGAATTATTTTAAAATCCCAAATGGTACATCAAGAAAGTTTCAATTGTTGAAACCAGTCAAGCATTAGAGTTCAGTTATGAACCAAACAAGTAAGATCCTTAAGATAAACTATTGTAATTGCTTAAAAATGAATAAACCTATTTATTTTTATTAGTCCAGTGCACGACAAACTATTAATAAAATACCAAATGGAACATAAAGAAGAAAAAATATTAAAAAGACAAGAATAAGCATAAAGGCATTCAATACTTATGATCAATTAAATTATAAAACAAAACGTAACTATGTCAAATACATTACAGAATTGTGCAAACAAACCCTAGAGTCAAGTTATTACTTCATAATAAATAAAGGTATGCATTTTCATTTGTCAAGTAGTACATTACATAATTGTAATAAAATCAAAATGGCAAGCCAAGAAAGTTCAAATTCAAATTGAAGAAAAAAAAACATGTATAAACACTAGAATAAGTTATGATCATTAAAAGAAATAATAAAGGTCTATTCAGAAGTTCAATGAACAATCTCTGGATGAAGTCGTCTGATTGCCATTTTTTTGAATTTTAAATGTGACAAATGAAAAAGATCAAGTTCTGAAAAGTATGTATTGAACTTTTTCTGAAGTCAACAACTTATTGCCATCGAGCCATAGTTAGTTTTGTAGAATCGTAACCCAAATGAAAAAATGTGATTACTTCTTAAGGATCTTGAGTTAACAGAAAGGCAAAGATCATCTGAAATAGCTGAACAATTGTAGTGGAAGTTTATTATTTTATGAAGGAATAGAACCATTGCAAGTTTACGTCTGTCCACAAGTGATAATAAATCTAATAGAGACAGCCTCATTTGTGAGGTAAATTCAAATTAGGGTAGCCCAAGTTTGTTTCCAAATTACATGTTTAGTGAAGCGATTTTGCACTTTTTCAAGTCTCTCGTTATGACAAGCATAAAGAGGACACCAAATAACACTATTATATTCCAAAATACTCCGAACCAGTGAAAAGTATAATGATATAGCATCATAATCTGTAATATGGCGGGTATTCCTTTTGATGAATCCGAGCATTCTGAATGCCTTATTACAGATATTATTGACATGATCAATAAAGCGTAGATCTTTATCGAAAGTAATTAACAAATCGCATAAGCTTTTGACAGTTTGAAGAGTTACGTCATCAATGGAGTAGTTTCCAATGACAGACTGCCTTATTCTATAAAATTTCAACACATTACATTTCTTAACGTTAACTTTTAAACAATTAGTATCACAGTAGGTACAAAAGCTATCCAGGTCATTCTGAATACATTCAATATCATTGGTAGATTGCACTGTTTTGAAAAACCTAAGGTCGTCTGCATACAGAGAGATATCACAGTGTTTAAACACTGATTCAACATCATTAATGAAGAGTAGAAATACTATAGGCCCAATGTGCGAACCTTGCGAAACCCCTGAAGTCACATGAATTGTTTCTGACACACTGTCAGCTATCCTCACATTCTGCAATCTACCGGAAAAGTAGGATTCAATAAATTTCAAGTATCTGCCCGTTATTCCAAGATTATTAAGTTTTAAAATTAATAGTTCATGACAAACTGAATCGAGGGCTTTAGCAAGGTCCGTGTAGATAACATCAACTTGGAGCTCTTGCTCAAGCTTATTTGTGATGAAGTTTTGGTAGACAGCCAAATTGGTGGCAGTAGCCGTCCTTTGAAGAATCCATGTTGATCGTCTATTATGACGTATTTGAAATTATTAAATATTTCATCCGCAATTAAAGATTCAAATACTTTGGGAATACAAGAAATTTTCGAAATACCTCTGTAATTCTGAATATCATTTCTGTTTCCACTTTTGAATACTGGAGAAAGGTAAGATTTTTCCAAACACCTGAAAAAATCCCTGTATCAAATGATATTTGAAAAAGTATTTTAAGGGGATATGGTAAACTGTGACAGCAATTCCTTAACAATACTGGCAGAATTCCGTCAGGACCCGCGTCCTTTGAGACATCTAGGTTTTTCAATTTATTTTCAATTACCACTTTACTGAAGGTAAAAACCATTAGATGTATTAGGTACATTAAACAAATAAAAAAACATTGTAACAACCAAATTTTCGTGACACCATCAACACAGAATACAGAACGACATGAAACAAACGTTTTTAAAATAGTAATATTAACACAAAGAAGCTACTTTTCGAGCCCTGAAGAAGAATTTAATTAAATTAGAAACGTCGACAAAAAACCAATTGTTTTTTAAGACAATTGATCCTGTTACTTAATCAACCTTTCTTCAGAAAAAAAAGTGTGTCTGTTTTTGAGTTTGAGGCATATCACCCTCAAAGCAGTATAATGCCTAATATAACAAAGCATCGCAAAGTGACCTATCGATTTAATGCATATACAGGGCTTTTCATGATGAGTGTTAATTAGCCGTTTCTGACAAACTATTCAACGGATCAACCTGAAAATTTCACAGTATGCATAAATCAATATGACCTACACGCCTAAAATATTTCAGACGAAGCGGCGTTGTCGCTTCTACTATAAAGTGGCGGCTTCTTTGATTTTTCAAATGGAACACCCCGTATATAATATCATATCATGATTCATTATCACTTTGTCAACAAATTCATATACTATTTCCCTATACCTATCTATTACCGTTTAGAAGATATAAATTAATTTCGATATTTTTTTTACCAAACATGAACTTTTATAAATGCTGATAATCTTGAACTCTCTTGCACTAAAACAATCAAATTTGAAATGAAGTAGAGTGATACTATGAGGATCTTCACTCCTAGTCATATTTTCATTTGCCTCATACAGGGTCTTCAAAAAATGCAGATACTTTGATCTCATGAAAAAATGAGTGGAACTCAATTTTTTCAAATGGAATACCCTGTATATTTCAACATTTTTGAGCTCTACATCCAATTTTAGATTAACTTTGTTCAGATAATACTATTTCTATTTTGAACCGTTTTCGAGATAAACTGTTTCAAACGGAAATTGACGTGGTTTCCATGTTCATCACTCATTTTTGTAAATCAGATTTCGTTTGATGTTTCTCAATTAGTCACAGATAATACAAAGAAAAGATAATTATTAAAATAATCCTCAACCATCGAATGAAACTTCTCTTCAAACAATAGTTTTATTAACACTGAAACACGAACTAAAAATAATAAACCCATAAATCAGTGAGTTAATTTAATCGTCAGTGTATTTCAGAATATGTTCAAACACATCTCCACCTTTACTTTAACAAACATGTAATCTCTTTAAAAGATTGTCATGTGTAGTGCTTCTGATCAAGTCTGGAGTCAAACTATTGAAAGCAGTTGTAACTCTCGATTTATACGGGGTGTTCCATTTGAAAAATCAAAGAAGCCGCCACTTTATAGTAGAAGCGACAACGCCGCTTCGTCTGAAATATTTTAGGCGTGTAGGTCATATTGATTTATGCATACTGTGAAATTTTCAGGTTGATCCGTTGAATAGTTTGTCAGAAACGGCTAATTAACGCTCATCGTGAAAAGCCCTGTATAGCAGCTCCACGATTGATACATGTGTGGAAGTACGATTTATTACAACGTGATGAAGTGTCAAATATATTTTTTTATTTTTCCTTTGAAATATTTTGTATGTTTCAGAGTATTTAAGCGGTTTCGAGAAGTACGGCCAGATTTGGTGCCTAAACGAATGAAGCATAACGAAGCCTATAGCGTACGCATTCCACTTGAGGACAGTATAGAAAAAATAACAGAGTTACATGTAACTCCTGATGAAGAAAATGAGAGCCTCCTTACTATTTGTATTTTTTTAGGAAAATCCATTCAAAAAACGAATATGCGAAGTATTCTCACGAGATGGAAAAGGCAATTTGTCCTTCGAGGATTTCTTAGATTTGCTATCAGTTTTCAGCGAACAGGCACCCAGAGACATAAAAGTTTTTTATGCTTTTCGGATTTATGGTTAGTAAGTATTCGGCTCGTATGTCGTGTTCAAGTCAGGATTAGTGAGTTCAGACAGGACCGTCTAAGGGGTTGTATATATGAGTATCTCTGAATAGCCTGTACTTCATCATTTTGTAGGAACTGGAATAACATTCATTAGTTTTCGATTTCAACAGGATTGCACTTGCATTACTTGACGCGATTGACACACATATAATATACTAATACTCGCCTATTTTCACTTATTGATTTTTTTCCGTTCTCCTCACAAATTAGCCAGTTTTTATTTGATAGGTACTTTTATTGGAAATCATTGAAATTCCCCAAACATAGTCCAAGATTGTGGACAAAACATCGCTAAAGTTTCATAATGGTTCCTATTTCAATATGATGTATTATTGGTATAAGTGAGTCAGCATCCAGTTGACATGATGTATTTCATTAACTGGCATGGTTGGACTCCTTTTCAACCTTGATACTACATCAACTCGGAATTTGAGCCACTACAAAAATCTTGCAGTTTTTTTGTTATGACCTCTCCAGATGAAACGCTATTGAATTGAGAATTTCTTATAACGCTTAAAGGTTTCAAAGGTTTGAAATATACTGAAAACTTTTTTTCGATGAGTTCATTGAAAAAAAAAGTCAAGTATAACAATCGAATATATGATTTTGATTAAGGGTTGATTTTGACAAAATTCTATTTTTTATTTTTGGATGAATCAAGATTTTTGAAATTTAATGAAAATTCGGTTCATTATCAAGTGGCTATCTGAAAATTCATGCCTCATCAAAATGCTATAGAACCATATTTTTCCAACGGGGTTTTAACTGATTCCATATTCTTTCATTTCGGGGGAAATCATTTTCAGAAGCATTTGCATATGTTCTTTGGAAAGTGATACAATAAGGTAGCTATACAATATTTAGGACGCTTTTGAGATAGCCCTAACTTACAGATAAGAGGCTAATTTACCCAAGAAATTGTTTGATATGATCAGTGCCATCAAACGTTTTTTACCCCATTGAAACCAAAAACACTACCTACTATCTGAACCAGGTCAGGTCGGTTGAGCATCTGACATTCATTTCAGATCCCATATTTAAGAAGCCAAGAGATTGTTGAACATCCGAATTGGCAATCACAAGAATACTTGATTAGAAATCAAGAAAAGTTGTTCCAAATCTAGATTCATAGTGAAAATTGGGATAAGCATTGATTTCAGTGGACTTTCAAGGAAACCACATATATGGTAAACAATCTCTGCAATCATCAAATTTTCAAAAATGTCAACCTGAAAATTATGCCGGTGAAAGAACTCAAAAAAAGACAGCATTCAATCACTTTCATTTGATTTTTTTTGTGAATGAAATTCTAAATGAAATGAAATCTTAAAATGATTTCAGTTGAATAATTGTCAAGTGTAGTTTGCAATAATGAGACCTATATTAACATACGGAGCCATTGCATGAGGACCGAAAGTTCTACAAGCAATAGCCATATATCAAATACAGCGACTGACTTGTTTAAACATCACAGGAGCCATGAGAACAACACCACCCGCGGCAATGAAATTTATTGCTGGTCTGACCCCTCTGGACCTGTACGTTAAGGAGATTGCGCTAATGGCCATGTTATGATTGCGCACCACTGGTGTAAACTTCGAAGTAGGAATGGGTCAATTGAGGCTGAACGTATGGCGAGAATCGCTTACTGCGCAACCTCTGCTGCAGGTAGCCAGTGATGCAATTGAACTCAGGTTTGTGTTTAATAAACTCTACAAAATACAAATAAAACAGAACACAGATTCAGATGCTACAAATGCAAGACACATATGTACAGACGGCTCAAAAACTAAAGAAGGCTCAAGATGTGGAGTGTACTCCAGATCACTAAGCTTAAGGATTAAGTGGGGAATGGGAAAAATACCAGCGTAGTTCAAACAGAACTGGCTGGTATCTCAATCGCCACAAGAGAAATAACCAGGAAAGGAATTTCTGGGAAAAACAAAACAATCTGCACTGATAGTAGACAAGCCCTAGTAGCCTTGAACAGACAACGTGTTACCTCTCGGCTAGTACTAGAGTGCCACCAAGATTTAGCCAAAGCCACGGTAGATAATAACATTATCCTGAGGTGGGTTAAAGGTAATCGCATTGCCGACTCTTCAGCCAAGGAAGCGGCTGGACTAAGAATTTTAGTACCCAGTGACCCCTACGGCCTGATGACTTCGACAATTGCGGAACTAGCCAAACGTCACACCCATGCTCAATATCTGAAGAGATGGGATGGAATCTAAAGATGCAATCTTGCCAGGATCACCCTGGGCGACCCTGGGAAGCTGGCGCCGAAGAAATATCTGGCCTTGACCAGGAAAAATCTATGCTTAACAGCAGGATTTCTGACTGGCTACTGTCAACTAGGAAAACACCTCCATAATTTGGGGCTAGTGGATACACCTCTATGCAGAATGAGTGAACAGGAAGATGAAACTGTCAGGCATGTTTTATGTGAGTGTCTGGAGTTATCGTCAATAAGAGAGTGTGTATTCGGCAAGTCTTGGCCTACACCTGCCGATATAAAGGAGATGTCTACCAGTGGCCTGTTCACCTTCCTGAAAAGGACAGGATGGACGATGGGTCTGGCCTAGGAGGACAACTCCTCGCGAAGATGTACAGTAACATGTGGCCTAAGTGCTGTGGGCCTACACTTACCCTCCCTACTTTACAGATACAGAGATACAGATATCCTCGCTTTGTGGCCTAAGTGAGGGGATCAAACATATAAGAAAAAATGTCCTCTTTTAAACAACAAGTCGACCGGGGCTTCAATTAGGTTTCGTTTGGCACCTTGTATATTATTTTTAAAACTTTAGTTATTTCCTTCACAACTAATTTTTGTTATTTATCCTCCATTTGCGGATTTTTCTTCATCTGCAGTAGATTGATTCGCGATATTCCATTGTAAGTAGAGCAGTTGAACTTTGCCGAGATCAATGAGAAAACCAGTTTGATGGACTAATTCAATTAAGTGAAAGTGCACAGCATCAAATCATTCGGGAGAAAATGATCTTTCACAAACAGTCGACGATCCACCCCCTTTCCATTTGAAAAAGTCGAGTTAACTGGATCAAGTGAAGTAAATATTTATATAAATAAATACAGATTTTCGAAAAATTATTCGAAGCGGTTTTAGTTATCTTATATTCATAACGGAAAGTTACGAATTGGGACAACACTGTCATACCAAAACAGTAAATAAAAGTTTAAGTGAGATGGGAGACCTTCTTGATAGATTTGTGAAGACGTTTTATCAAAAAAAAAAACTGAGAAAAAGTATCACCACTTCGGCTGATTTTTGGTTTGAATTTTCTACACGCAGACCCAGGAGTTGCAGTCTCAGGTCTGCGCAAACGATGAGTTCAAGACAGGCACGTAATCCTTCCATAGTTGTCGAATTTCATGGGTTTCACCCAGCCTACTGTGAAATGAAAATATATTTTGTCACATCCGAATATGAACATCTGCCAATCCCATGAATTTTTAAAATCTACTTGAAACATAGTTCATCATTGTCCAAATGATCTGGGTTACTTGAATATTACACAAATGCAAAATTATCATTTGTACAATTTTCTCAGGTGCCCAACATGGTTTTCATCGACTGTATTTTTTTGAGCAGTTTATATGAATAGTTTTTATGTTGAGCAGTGTTTAGACGCTTTGGTTGAGGATGTAGTAGGGAGAAATGTCATTAGTGTCAAATATGTCAGCATTGTGAAAACTGAAACTCCTGGACACCAACATCAAAGGGACCGACGCTAAGTGGGACTACTGTATATAAGTATACTGTGACATAGCGGTCGCAACTGATTTCGAATGTTCGGGAATATTTAGATTTCGTCGTTGTTGCTGAGCTTATTGCTGTCATTATAACTTTTCCATTTCTTTTATTCTCGCATATTATTGCATTTACTCAAATGTATTTTTTCTCTTCCATTTAACTATATTTTATCTTTATAAATTACTTTTTTTATGCATCATATTCAGTGTTACTGATTCCCATATGTTTTGTATATACTTTTCTTTTTAAATTTTTGAAGAGTAATTCGAATATCTCAATTATAGTATTCTGGTGTTTTATACTTGATTTATTCAACTTCTCTGCCTGTGGCATTCACAAAGAACCATTGTCAACTACATTCAAATAATACCGACTGAAGCAGACTTATTTCAGATTTCGATAGTGACCAACATATTGGTCCAGAAGATTTGGATCAAGCTTTGCAACTACTTACGAAACACACACAAGAATTGACTCCGGAAGATAGGCAGCAAATTGTTGAAAAAGTTATTGAAGAAGCAGATGTAGATGGAGATGGAAAACTCTCTTACATGGAGTTTGAACATGTCATCACAAGAGCACCAGAATTTTTGTCAACTTTTCATATAAGAATTTAGGTTCAACTGCATGTGCATATTTTAAGAATAATTTGTAAAAGAGTTACGTCAGAGATACTCATAGATAACAAGCTGGTAAAACCTGTTGTGTCTGTATATAGTTAAGAAAGTAAATAATACACTTTCATCCATTCTCTATGTAATTGTCTTGACTTAATGCATTGTACTCAATTCAAAAATTTAATAAAATTGTATTGATCTGACCAAGCATAAAATTCAATAATGTTGATTCATTCACAAAAAATTCGATCTTGATTAAATACCTTTTCAGTTTCATCCTGTCGCATCTATACTCAGAATGGAAGGGGGTCAGCAAATACGCTAGATTGTGAAACATGTGCAATTGGGCCTGAGTAGGTTTTTCATTTCCACAATATCATAACCATTAAAACATTTGGAATAAGTCGTTGAATTCAAGGAATATAAAAGTGAGTTTTGAGATGGTCTCCTTCATGGATCCGGACCAGCTTTCTGCAGAAGTATTCCCAGCAGACATAACTGCCCTGTTCGCTCATTGTTTGGCCGGTCACACCAATACAGTTTCAACTGACAGTTATAGCTGTTCAGTTTCTCATACTTTTCAATGATTCAGGTATTGTCGTATAGTTCAGGTCCAAGATACGTTATACATTTTTGGTTATGCGTGAGTCTGCATAGTGAAACATTCATGGTCTTAACTGAACTGTTACGAGAACCTATTGAAAGCATGCTGGACATATGTGATTGAAGAATTACCAGTCCATAATACACTCTGAAAAATTAAAGTTTTTCTGGCTCCTAATAAACCAGATTCATCATACAACGACATACACCAACAACAGAAATATATATAGACATATTAAAGGAATTAGACAAAAAAAGATGTCCAACTGGAATATAGATACTGCGATTTGAGCAAAGCGTTGGATTGTGTTCGATTGTTAGAAAAGCTTTGGATTTATCGGATCAGAGGAAATACACATCAATGGTTTCGGTCTTATCTTGATGGTAGAAAACAATATGTACAGATATCTCACATTAAGGATGATGGACAAAACAGCATACACTGCTCAGATTTGATATCGATAAGTGTAGGGG